CAATTTTGATTCACGACTTTTTTACATCATTTTTCAGCTCTAGCTCCAGACCGAGGTCTAGAATAATATTTATACCAAAAATTTAGTCAATTCCTTCACCAGTTATATGTGAATAATATCTTGTTGCATAGTCCTGTGATAATCTAAGATCATAGGTACGATACGAGAGTATCCCATGTAAGTACGACAATCATTACCAGAGATGAATTAGCTAAAATACCTATATGTGGAAAAGTATAGAGCCAGTAATAGCCACTCACAGCTAAGGTGGTACGGCCGGATGGCCAATACGTACTGTACTTGCCCTCACTGCAATGTCAAAGGAGACTGGAAAAACAACAATATAAATTTTATTATTGCGCTGGTGTGGACTCTAAATATCTAGATCAATTGGGCAGGGTGAATAGTCCTTTCTAAAAATTAAACGCACCGACTAACCAAAACAAATGCGAAATTAAAACTATCGATCTAGCAAAGACTATATCCCTCTATCTAAGTTTAAAGCACCTTACAAAGATCATAAATAGGCAACAATGGTGCCGGGCTAGATAGAGCTCACCTAACAATTCTAGCTTGCAAAGTCTCACAAACCTATGTAACTAGTACCTCAAGCAATCGGGGGAGCTCCTACACAACTAGTGATGCAAAGCGCACAAAGCTCCTAAGCTCACTAGCAATGCTCAATAACAAGGCTACACAAGCTAAATTAGAGAGCGCAAATTACTTAGCTACACAAATAAAACAACATGACTAACAAGGTTACTCAAACCAAATTACTCACACAAGGGAGTTGCTTCAATGCTACACAAGTAAGAAGGTAACTAGCAAGCTATACAAGCTAACTAATTACAAGAGCAACTACACAAGCACAATATATATGAATGTAAATACAAGCTTGTATATGGGAATCGCAAACCAACGGGAAGATGATGACTCCGTGATTTTTATCCCGAGGTTCACGTGCTTGCCAACACGCTAGCCTCCGTTGAGACAAGCTCCAAGGTTGCCATCGGTGTCTTGCTAGTGATGACCCGCAAGTCACACTCTCCCACGTGGAGTGCTTACCACAAGCTCTAGCACTTGACTCGACCGGACCACTTGTCGCCCTTCGTGTCTCGCTCTACTAGAGTTGCTCTTCACGGCTCCCTTGGGGTGAGCACAATAACCCTCACAATCACTTCTCCGGAGCACCGCACAAGCTTCTTGCGTGCTTCGACGGAGATCACGCCACCAAGCCGTCTAGGAGGTGGCAATCTCCAAGGGTTACAAGCACCACCGGCTTGCAACTTGAACACCTAGTGCCACTCGATGTACTCTCACAATGCAATCGCACTAGAATCGCACTCACACTCAATCGGATGATCACTATGAAGCGTGTGTGAGTTAGAGGGCTCCCAAGCACACCTACACAAGCCACCAAGGCTTAAGGGTGCTCAGCAACCAACCCAAGGCCGAGCTCCACCTCTACTTATAGCCCAAAGGCCAAAAAGAGCCATTGCTCAAAAGCTGGCTTCGGGGGCTCTGGACCCAAGCACTACTGGAAACAGAGACTTTGCCGAGTGCAAAATTCTTTGCCGAGTGTTAAAAATCGGGCACTCGGCAAAGACCTTCTTTGCCGAGTGCTGCACTCGGCAAAGAATTGCACTCGGCAAAGAGTTCTTTGCCGAGTGCCGGGCACTCGGCAAACAAGGGCACTCGACAAATGACTTCTTTGCCGAGTACCAGACTCTCGGCAAAATCTCTACACTCGGCATAGGCTGCCCACGAAACGGTGTTCGGTCACGGCCTTCTTTGCCGAGTGGCTGCTGTTAGGCACTCGGCAAAGATTTGATTTTTTTTTTAAAAAATTTTTTGCCGAGTGCCCCAGATCTAGCACTCGGCAAAGATTTATTTTTTAAAAAAATCCTTTACCGAGTGTCTCAGATCTAGCACTCGGCAAAAAATTTTTTTAAAAAAAATACTTTGCCGAGTGCACCTAGCACAACACTCGGCAAAGATTTTTTTTTATAATTTCTTTGTCGAGTGCTCCTGTGGATGCACTCGGCAAAGAGGAAATTTTTTAAAAAAAATTAAAACCCTCTTTGCCGAGTGCCTTGTCGCACTCAGCAAAGACACCCTTTGTCGAGTGCCATGCCTCGGCACTCGGCAAAGTTTTTTTGTTTTTTGCCTCCAATTTTTTTCTGCAGCCCTTTTAAAGCATCAGGAACTCCTAGTTTGGGGATTTGGGGATTTTTATGTTAGTTTTTTTATATTTTAGTTACTTTATTTACGTTTACTTGAATTTTTCAAAAAATTTAAATTTTTCGAGCTGCATTAGTGCGAATAATAGAATTTAATGATTCAAAATTGATAGTCATGTTAGTGAGTGTTGTGACAGGCGTATCCGAGAGCGGACCCGAAATTTCGGACATCTTGTTCCTGAAACATGTCACGTGAAATTGCGTGTTCTCAAATTTTTTCATAAATTCTATATCAAAGCATCTCAACAAGTTTCATGATTTTTGACTTCGCTTGCTTTTTATAGAATTTAAAACACTGATAAAAAGTTCAGAAGATGTTTCGTGAACAAGATGTCCGTTTCATGCCGCTCTCGGATACTATACATCTCTACACTACACTCATGTCACAGAATATGACTATCATTTTTGAATCATTAAATTCCATTATTCGTACTACGTAGTTCAAAATTATATTTTTCGAAAAAATTCAAGTAAATAAAATAAAGTAACTAAATATAATCAAAAGCCATAAAAAATCCCCAAATTCTAACTAGAAGTTCCTGGTGCTTTAAAAGGGCTACACAAAAAATTTAGAGGCCAAAAACAAAAAAACAAAAAAAAAATTTGCCGAGTGCCGGGGCATGGCACTCGGCAAAGGGGGTCTTTGCCGAGTGCCACGGATAAGGCACTCGGCAAAGTGGGTTTGGATTTTTTTTAAAAAAATTCCTCTTTGCCGAGTGCCTTCACAGGGCACTCGGTAAAGATATTTTAAAAAAAATTAAATCTTTGCCGAGTGCCGTGTCAGGGGCACTCGGCAAAGTATTTTTTTAAAAAAACTTTGCCGAGTGCCAGATCTGGGACACTTGGCAAAGAATTTTTTTTAAAAAAAATTAAATATTTGCTGAGTGCCAGATCTGGGACACTCGGCAAAATTTTTTTTAAAAAAAATTAAATCTTTGACGAGTGCCTCCCTGATCCGGCACTCGGCAAAGGGGCGGTTGGGGGACTTAAACGATTTCGGCCGGCCGAGCAGTCAAGCAGACAGCCAGCAGCCCCAGCCCCGCCGCCGCCGCCCCCGCGCCCCGCCCCGCCGCTATGCTCGCGCTCGGCCGCAGCCCTCCCGCACCGCGCGCAACGCCGCCTTCCCCGCCCCGCCAGCCCCTCGCCCCCACGGCCACGTGTGGCGAAGCGTAACCAGCTTCGCCCCGCCCGAACCGCTCCAACTCCAAGGGAAACAACAGCAAGGCGCTCCCGCTCCCGCCGTCGCTGCTCGCGCCCACTCCCTACGCGCGCGCGGCTCCGACCCCTACGCCTCCGTCGTCCCGGCCGAGTACGCCGCCGCCATGGACCCGCCGTCGAACCGCTGGAGGGTGCGTGTGCTCCGGACCCGGCGCCGGTCGCCCAGCAGGCTCGCCGAGTGGCTGTCCATGCTCATCCTCTACCGCTCCTGCAAGCGCGCCGCCGCCTGCTTCGCCACAAAGGCCAAGTCGCTGGCGGCCTGAGCGACTGAGGCCCGAGAGATAAGTCGTTGTTGCCCGCAATCTGCTGCAACTTCCAGTTCTCAGTCTCATCTCTGATCTCTCCCACTCCCAGCTCCCGTGTGTGTGCTGTGTTGATAGCAATATTGGTGTGCGTGATGCCGTTTGCATTTTGTGCGATGATAATTCACTGTAAATTACTCGAATTACTAGTATAAGTATTACAGTAAATAGGAGTATATGATTCCATTTGATATATATACATGTTGTATTTACAGTTGCCATGGTTCCTGCAGGTTATATTATAATTACTACTATATGATAATTGTTATTTGTGGGATCATAACACCATGGTTCCTGCAGGTTGCAAAATTTTCTTGTAACCCCTCAATATGTGCACCCCAACTTGAAGCAGTTGAAATGATTAGAAGTTTTCGTCTTAAAACACTATGTTCATTCAAATTCTCTAAGTTGATGTTTGAGGTTCAGGATTTTTTTAGATTTGTTTGCCTGCCAACATCAATTGCCTCTATGTAAAAACTTTCATCATTGACGATAAATAAACTTAGAAAATGGTTACAACTTACAACTAAATATGATATAGGATAACCACATATGGAAGCAATATGTTTGATTGTTGTGATCTTCAATATAATTGGAGGTGAACAAAAGCTTCTGGTTAAAGATCAGCTTGTGACTAATCTTGATAGGTTTTGTCTGTGTGTTTTTGCCTTCCCTTTTGTGGGACATTGGTTGATTTTTGGGATCTAGAAAGAATAGCGGTATGTCAATGGTATCCATTAAATTTTTTGTTAGTGAACTTTGATTTTCTGAAAGTGCTACGTTTTCTGACATCTGGGATATCACCATCAAATTCAGCATCAGTTTGTTGCTGTTAAGCTCTTCCTCTTCTTCCAAAATAAAATGGAACTTCTTTAATGAACTTATGTCTTTTTAACTTATGTTCGTATTAATGTCATATATTGGTTTCCGTTATGGAAAATACATATAACTGGCCGTTGGGGCCATTATATAAAATCAGGTGGGGAACGCCTCCCCCTGTTGACCTTCACAAAAAAATATAGCTGGAAGAACTGTTAGCTGTAATTTTTTTTAAATGGTCTGGAGAAGTTGGATATGCTTCCGCTATCCGTGGAAGTAGTACTTGGTTCCTGAAAATCCTTTGTTATCTTAACTTCTTTGAGTCTTCTTCAAAAGTTTGAATAGTGATTTACAATTGCATTTGTGTTTCCTTGTTTGTTCAGTTACCGAGTGGACTGGTGGGCTTTATGTTTCTCCCACTATGGCTGGAAGCAGGCCAGGTGGATTAATTGCGGGAGCTTGGACTGCTATGATGTCTCTCGGACTAAATGGTGACAAACTTATTCTGAAATTCCATCAGTGTGTAGTGGTGGCTTAGAATCAAATAGTACTTGTGATGTATACCATTGCTTTTCTTGCTTTCCAGGCTACTTGGACAGTACAAGCCGTATCATGGAAGTTTCGAAGAAAATACAAAGAGGGTAAACTTGTTTGTTTGTTATGCCTGAACTCTGAACTATGACTACAAGACATAAGACAAACTCTGACTGTAGCTATGTTTTACCCATTTTTGTTTATTTATTTATTGTAACTTTTTAAATTGAAGTAGTATTCACGCAGATATTTATTTTCTACTAGTATGCATGGTCAAATGCCAAATTAATTAGCACACTTGTAATATTTCTATACTAAGAATAGATGTGCTTCCTTTTGTTGTGACTGGATCATCAAAATGGATCACTGCTTAGCTGTGGGTAAAATTTTATGGCTTGTGCAGGATTGGAGAGATCCCAGGGTTGTTTGTGATTGGGAAACCAGATATGACCGTTGTGGCGTTCGCCTCGGATGTTGTCGACATATTTGAGGTGAACGACATAATGTCATCAAAAGGTTGGCATCTCAATGCTCTGCAGAGACCTAACAGGTAAATCTTGGCTTCAGGCAAACAATTGTATTGTACTCCCTCCTTTCCAAATTATTAGAGATTTTTGCTTTTCCACATACATAGCTTTTTATATGCACTTAGATATACATAATAAAAACAGTGTATCTAGAAAAACAAAAAAAGTCTTATAATTTGGAATGGAGGGAGTCCCTTCACCCCAGCAGCCATTGGTGCTATTTGCATTCTCGGCTAGTCTGACAATCCTTACCGGTTTCAATTTGCACATTTGTGTGACCCTTCAACACACGACTATTTATGACCAATTCCTGAAGGATCTGCAAGATTCTGTGAACACTGTGAGTTGCTCAGCACGTGTTATGTTATGTCGCCTAATGGCTATTATTACCCTGATCCATTCCATCGCTAGGAAAGGCTATGTTTTCTTATGACGTTTGGCGTTGGCAGGTGAAAGCAAACCCAGGTCCTATTAGCGGTGGAATGGCTCCTATCTACGGCGCCGCAGGGAAGATGCCAGACAGAGGCACGGTGAAGGAGCTGCTTGTGGAGTTCATGGACAGCTCTTGCTGAACTGATTATGGCTTGTGAAAAACAGTCGCAGTGCTGTGATTTGTTTGCCTAGGTATACAAAGTTATCATAGGAAAGAGGGGAAAGTCATTGAGGCGATACAACCACATGTATTAAGTATTAACGATTATTAGAAGAAGTGTATCCGTATGATTGTATATCAATATCAGAGCATGCAGGTTTCAAAAAAAAAAAATCAGAGCATGCATATGCAATGTACCACAAGGCTTACAAACGTATATGTTCCTATAAAACATCATTTCAGGGGATAATAATAATAATAAACGTATCTGTGCTTGGAAAACCATTTTTCCAGCTTTGCCGAGTGCTGTGACCATGGCACTCGGTAAAAAAAAAATAAAAAAATTCAAACTTTGCCGAGTGCCGGCCAGAGGGCACTCGGCAAAGATTTAAAAAATCAAACTTTGCCGAGCGCCGGACAAGGGGCACTCGGCAAATAATTTTTAAAAAAAAACAAAAAATCTTTGCCTAGTGCCTGAAGGGTTGGCACTCGGCAAAGAAATTTTGTAAAAAAAATAAAAAATCTTTGCCGAGTGCCTGCAGGGTTGGCACTCGGCAAAGAATTTTTTTTAAAAAAAATAAAAAATCTTTGCCGAGTGCCTGCAGGGTTGACACTTGGCAAAGATTTTTTTTTTAAAAAAAATATAAAATCTTTGCCGAGTGTCTGCAGGGTTGACACTCGGCAAAGTGACCATCAACGGGGCCGGCGCCGTGACGGTTGCTTTTCTTTGCCGAGTGTCCCCGGGGCACTCGGCAAAGCCTTTGCCGAGTGCCCGATAAAAGACACTCGGCAAAGAGGGCTTTGCCGATCAATTTTTTGCCGTGTGTTCTTTGCCGAGTGCCGCACTCGGCAAAGGCTTTGCCGAGTGCAATTTGGCCTTTGCCGAGTGCCTCAGGCTCTCAGCAAAGAACCTGAATCCAGTAGTGAAGGTTCGGACCATGAATAGTGAGGCTCCGGACCACGGATCCTCGCCACGTGTCCCCTCATTCGAGCGTCGACCATTGGAGTTTAACGGTAACTTCGCGCGTGTTTCAGCACCTTCGGACCGTGACTCCGGACCCACAAACCAAACCAAGAAACGGTAGGGTCTGGAGCTATCCAGAGAGCTCCCGAGAGCCTCAAAGTGCTCTGGACCCGGTCCTGTTCCACCGTCCGGACCATCCCCTAGGGTCCGGACCTCGCTGCATTGCTCCGTCATCACGCCACACGTCCTAGGGACTAGCCGAACCCACGCTCGTTAGTCCGGACTCGCTGGCCACCCTGAGTCCGAACACTGCGCGCCATGCACTGCCACTTCTGCTGAGCCAACCGAACCCTCGGCACTTGGTCCGGAACCACCCGCGCGCAGGGTCTAGAACAGCCTGGCCTTATGCCTGCTGCTGCGGTTGCTACAGGCCAGACCGGCGCCCTAGGGTCCGGATCCCCAGGGTCCGAAGCACCTGCCTATGCTGCACCGCCCTCTCTCTCATACACAAATCCTCGACAAGAATTTCTTGCTTAGCAAAGGGAATTGCTGGTTGAGCCCGCTCTCTCTCACTGACACGCATGCAAGCTTGTCCCCCTTTACTATTCCTCAACAAGAATTTCTTGTTGAGAAAAGGGAATTGCTTGTTGAGAGTTTGCACCACTAAAATCATCATTTTATGTGCTATCTCTTCTCCATTTTCACCACCTTTGCAAATGTGCTAACACCACCATGTGTACGCCAACATGTGCAATTGTGTTAGCATTTTCACAATCATTTTTAAAGGATTAGTCACTCAATTCACCACGCCACTCGATCCTAGCAACATCGCAAAGTTAGATCGCTTAAGTGGCACTAGATGACCGATATGCAAACAAGTTTGCCCCTCTTGATAGTATGGCCATCTATCTTAAACCCGGTCATAAACTTCTCTACACACCTATGACGGGTGAAATGAAATGCCCTACAAATATACCTTTGCCTTGCGCATTCCATCCCATCTCCTCCAATGTTGATGCAACACATGCACCAACCATATCACAAATGATATGATCCACTTCATATCATCACGTGACCTTGTTGGTTCCTTGATCTTGACCTCACTTGCTTTTCACCGTTGCCTTCGTCCATCGGTGCCAAGTCTAGCTCAAGCTTCACCGCCACACGGTCTATCGCTCCAAAGTCTCCAACTTGTCCTTGACTCTTGCAACCGGTCCATCAAGCTAAGTCTTGTCTTGATCTTCTCTACCTTAGTCACACGACTCAATGTCATGTCTCATATACAATGAGCTTCTTCATCACATGTGTGAGCCTTGAAACATATCCAAGCCATTTCACCTATGGCATGAGTTGCTCACACATGATGTATTTGTGGCTAATCACATGTGTATCTCACATTAAACACAATTAGTCCACCTAGGTAGTCACTCAATTACCAAAACCAAATAAGGACCTTTTAGCCTCTCAGTCTTCTGAGACGGGCGTCGGACGATTGTGTGAAGACAACCACGTGCCATAAAGGCGTGACACGCCACTACACACCGAATATGCTAGCCATGCACACGCCCTGACACAGGATTTGAGGGGCCACCCCCTCCCTTTGAGCTCTCCGCGTGGGGCCAACGGCCAGGATCCGCACATCCAAATCGCTGTGACCCCTTGACTCTTGGATCATCACCATGTGGCATGGCGGTTTGGCCCCCATGGAGCAAGGAGCACCGTGCGCATTAACTCCACCTATCGGCACGATGATCGAGAAATATCAAAAGCCTACACCAGGTGTTAGCAGGAAGGGTGTGTGGAGAAACTGCCCGCCCATTAACAAACTGGCCCTATGACGCCCTGGGACTGCACCAGCCCTCCACCGAGAATTTTGGGGCCCTATCCACGGGCGTACCATGACCGCTTCCGAGCGCTATAAAGATAAGAGCAGAGGGCATTGAGCGTTGGCCCAATGAGGGCCACATGAGCCCGGGGCATAGAACGCCCTTGGCTATCATGAAGTGCGACCCAAGCCAAGGAGGCCTACCACCGAGCCCTCATGCGACCGTGGGATGCTGAGCGACGGAGTAGCACTGAGCCAATGCACCGTCGCTCGACCCATAGGAGGCCAAAGTAAGCAGGGCACGCCATGCGGGCTCAGAGCTGGCGATCCCCCAATGAGTCAGCCAGGCCCTCGCTCGGGCCTCCCCACATAACGCTCGATCTCAGCGTCGCCTGGCTTAGAAGCTGTGTGCATGCCTAAAGACTCAGGCGCCCTCAGAAGGGCCTTCAACCCAAGACCGCTGGGATTTGGTGCACCCTGATTGACCAGTCATCAAAGATCGGGCTCAGCCCCTTTTTGCCATCACAGGCTCGACCCGGAAGGCCACGAAGGGCACGAGGCTTCGGACAAGAGTCTTACATAGGGGTATGGCAAGTCCTTGTGGAAGATAAAGCAGTTTGATGGACCCCGCCCCAACCAATCTCACATATCACTCAGGAGCTCAGGGGCTATACACATTGGGTCACGCGCACCCTCTAGAAGGAGTCATGTTTACCCCCGAGAATACCCATAGCCGATGCTCATGGTTCAGGAGCTCGAAGGCCCCAGACTGTTGAGCGAAGGTGGCCCGAGCCTAACTCCTACCTAGCGCACACTCGGACTTGTGCCTGGGCGACAACTGACTTCCTGAGCCATAGGTCAGGGCCTGGATCAGGAACCTACCAAGCATTCAAAGCATGACAGGTATGCAGATGTCGCGCCATCTACCCATTTAATGGGCACGAGGCCCTATCAGCAACACTTTCGGCAGGGTCACGCAATCGGCGTGACACAACAGGTCAAGGGACTTCACCAACTCTAGGGGCAAAGGGCTCCAAGGCCCACTCGTCAGCCCCTCCGGGCAAGCGCTTCTTATTGGCCAAGGTAGCCTCGAGAAGGCTCACCGAAGGAGGCCACTCACAGTAGGCAGACCTTGATGGTCAAGTGCCAGAATAGTGGCAGCGACGTCAGGAGGCGGTTGCAGTGTTGTCAGCTCCTCCCTATGCGATAAGGCTACGTCCATCCACACCGTGGCAGAGAACTCATGCACCCGGTGCATAGACCATACACTAGAACCAAACTAACTTGCACATCGTGTCCTCCCTAGAATATACAAGGGGAGGCATGGCTCACCAAAGAGGGGAGAACAAGAAGTGAACTAGGAGACTAGACGTCTGATAGATGGACGGACAAGAAGATAGCTAGAGAGATCGAAATCCACCTTAGCTAGAGAAGGCCAGTTTCTTACTCGCTGAGGAAGAACACCGATGAGCACTAGGATAGCACCGAGCGATCCCCTACCAAACTCTCTTGATCTCTACCATTGTAACACCCCCAACTAGGCATTCCTAACACGAAGATCAATGTACTGCTAGACGTAGGGCTCAGAGGATAAGTCGTTGTGTCCCTTACTTGTTTTGAGTGTCCGAGCCATTGGATACCCACACATCGACTTCCGATGAACAACCATCATGCTCGCTATGGTTACGAACCTGCGAAAGTTAGACATGAGAAAGGTTGAGGCTCAAGACATTCCTTATGTCGAGATGAGTCGTATTGGCTGTGACTGTTGTCTTTGGTGGGGTAAACTTGTACCCCTCTACAGAGTTCTTGTTCAATCCTTATAGGTTCATACTAGTGTTGATCGAAAGGACTCATGGAAGACCAAGCTCCAATTGTTGCTTATTGCTTACACATGTTTAACCATGTTATGCTTGCCTAGTTGAATGGACAACTTTACTTTATCACACAAATGCTTTTATGCAAAACTAAACTTTATTCCTTGCTAAAGCACCATGCATAATCGTTGTTCATTAATCATGGGTAAGTCCTGTTGAGTACAATTTTGTACTGATGGTACTACCTGCTTATGGGTTGTTCTATGCGCGCGAGTCCTCCGTGGATTGGGAGTAGTAGAGACCTGCCCTGTGAGGTGTAAATCAATGGTTGTGGCATAAACCATGGACTTGTATCAAACTTACCTTATGTTACG